AAATGTAATTAAATTGACATTTGTATATATAACATTATTTATACAATCTCTGTTTAATACTTATATTTTAAATTGTAATTTGTGGGCTCAACTAGCGCTGGAAACTATAGTTTCAGCATTATGTTGAGTTCTGGTTCACATTGACTCTATTTCGTAATATTTGTAAATTGTTGTTTATACTTTTAATGACATTACTAGCTGTACCCACGTTAATTATATAGAAAAACTAGCTACATTTAGTTTTATTTACTACTAGAAAAACAACCCGGCAAACATTGTTTTGCCATATAAACTTAAGTAGTAATAGTGTTTAAGTACCAAAAAAAAATTGTAGTGAAGACCACTTAAGGGTATGAAAAATAGGTAGTAGCCCATTCTCAGACCTACTGAATATGCATAAAAAATTTCATAAAACTCGGTGAAGCCGTTTGAAAGGAGTATGGTAACTAACATTGTGACACGAGAATTTTATATATAAGATATATATATGTCCTTGTCAATCCCCTCCGATCGATCCCCCGTCCAATTCAAACGGGGGTCGATATTACGACGGCCTGAGCCGAGGATGGAACCCCTAGTGGTGCCCTCAGACTAAAGTCGTGTCGGTCAGGCAGGAGTTGGCCTTCAGCCGCTCCATAAGTCCTTCCTTGGTTTGGAGTACCATCTGCACTCGCCCCCTATCGTCCGGTGAACTGTAAAGGCCAGCTGCGGCCAACAGCATTAGAGTACTCTGAAAAAAAAAACTTGTCAATCTTGTTCTGCTAAGTTTTATACTTTTATAAATAACATTATATTATTTCTTCTCAAAACCCGTGTTTACATAATTATATCTACCATCCCAATATATATACAGTCCTTCGTTCACAGGTACATTTCTATTATTATTATATTTATTCTAAATATTTATTACTGTCTAGTTTGTAACATTACTTCCTTACCAACCGACTTTGAAATGTTAGAACGTCACCCCTCTGTTCCCGCGGCGCCCTAAGGTTCATAGCAACCCTATGAGAGAGGGGTTGGTCTCGGTAGTTTCGCTACGCGTCGCTAGATGGCGCAATAACTGTAGTAGAAATAACTTTTAAATTTTTGTTGATTGTTGCGGGTGAATGATACGTATTGCTGGTAGAGACGATGTATATTACAGATGATAATCGACTGACAATATGTACATAGGAATATTGATTTTATAGACTAAATGACAATAGGAAAATTTAAGGTGAGGTGACACAGTTTAGACACAGCAGTGCTTAGTACACAATATTGGATTTGTCTTACTAGACATTATTAAATGCAATTATTATTTTGATGTATCTAGGTAACTGTGACCTATATTGATGTTGGATTGAAACTTAGGACTATTATTAATATGCAATATATATAATTAAGTAATACTATATGAATAATTGATAATTATAACACTAATATGCTAGAAAAACATATTATAACTATAATAATATATTTATAAGCATATTAGGAAGGAGATAAAAATAATATTATATTTTATATATCTTTCCATTTCATTTTCTTTAACCTGCCTGTAGAGGTAGTTTCTACTTAAGTACTTATTATACTCATCTGCTTCTTCCTTATCCCATTTATTTGTGGTCGTCGTAATATGTTCTTCTCTTCCATTCATCTCTGTTCGCAGTCATCTCGTTATTTACTCCCTTTCTTACCATATCATATCCTACAGTCCATCTATTCTTTGGCTTTCCTCTGACCTTACAAGCATCCATATTCATATGTAACACCTTCCATAAAATATTATCTTGTTTGACATTACAGATACATAAAAAAACTTAACTAAGTTATATACATAAGTCTTCATGTAGGTATCTATAGATATTTACCAGTATCACTGTTGTACTGCTTTATACGAGTCCTTTTCTTATAAGAAAGGATCTAATCAGAAAACTATATTTATATTCAATAATTTTTATTATTAAATTCACATTACTCATAGTTTCCTGGTTCCTAACCTAGATGTAAATATTTTTCGGTCTTCCTCTGCTCTTATAACCATCCACATTCATATGTAACACCTTTCTTAGGATATGATCTTCATTCTACTTAAGTACTTATTATTTTATTATTAAATACAAAAATTGTATGAAAATAATATGTACCTACTTATTGTTAGACAAATATATCTTATTAAATTTTAATATATGTGACCATATATGTACATAAAACGTTTTTGGCCATCTATATTTTACCTTTATTTACACAAAATTTAAAATTAATCATTACAAAAGTTTGATACCATAACATAGCGTATTAAGAATTAATTTTTATTCTGTAAATTACTGTATATAAAACACAATATTCAATAATATAATACCTAATTTTATATGACTATGTAGGTAGATGATTATTATTAATTTTTACGTCTTTAAAGCCGTAAAGTATTTCACTATAATCATATCTGCAAAGCATAAATGCCAATGTAAACACAAACATCAAATTTAGTTCCACTATCCGATAACAGATGGCGCTAGCAGTCCTCAACGAGCGACTTAATTTGCAATGCGGCGCCGCGGCCACAAAACATACTCGCCGCATAAATATTAACATTACAATTGAATGATAGTAAAAGTAGTGAAACTCATACATTAAAAATCATATTCAAACGATATTAATAACATTCAAACACAATTATGTATGTAATAAACATTTATGAACGCGTGGCCCTCATGGAGACCGAAAGTTATTATACTGCATCATAGTAATATATTAAATTAATTATTGTTAGAAACAAACAAACAATTGTATATATCTATATATATATGGATACTAGCTTTTGCCCGTGGTTTCGCTCGCGTTAATTTATCCCTTTAGGAGTGGAATTTATCAAAATCCTTTCTTAGGGGATGCCTATGTTATAATAGATTTATGCATGCAAAGTCTCAGCCCGATCGGTTTAAAATAGACAAAGTTTCATACAAAATTTCATCCCCTATTTTATCCCTTTGGGGGTAGAATTAATCAAAATTCTTTCTTAGCGGATGCCTACGTCATAACATCTACCTGCATGCCAAATTTCAGCCCGATCCGTCCAGTGGTTTGGGCTGTGGTTGATAGATCACTATGTCAGTCACCTTTGAGTTATATATATACAGATTTCATAGCGACGCAGTTAGCACCTATTTATTGAGTTTACTGATAAATAGTCATTAAGCAAAATTCACTAACACGTTCCGTTACTCTACTTAGTTTATATGCATCCTTATTACATAGTATAAATCAAAGTCGCTGTCGCTGTCTGTCCCTACGTATGCCTAAATGTTTAAAACTACGCAACGGATTTTGAAGCGGTTTATTTTAATAGATAGAGTGATTCAAGAGGAAGGTTTATATGTATAATACATGTACACCCGTGCGGAGCCAGGGCGAGTAGTAGTTAATAATAAAGAGATAAAATTGAATTATACTTGAAACTGTTTTCCTTTAATAAATATAAAATAATTACCAACTTACTATTAGTGTTCACTATTTAAAATCTTTATCGATTTTTAACAAGCGATTTTCTTAACAATTTAAATATTACAATATAATGTCTACTAAAATAGACTTATAGCTTAGAAATATAAATAAATTAAACGCATATAAATTAGTACAGATTTATAACACAGAGTTATTTAGTTTAAACTAAATACAAGTAACACTGGACTTGAATAGAGACTCAAAATATTTACAAAACAAATGTACACCTATTTTAATTATAACTAGCTACTCGCCCCGGCTGCGCACGGGTGTACATGTATTATATATATAAACCTTCCTCTTAAATCACTTTATCTATTAAAAAAACCGTTTCAAAATCCGTTGAGTAGTTTTAAAGATTTAAGTATTTTTAGGGACAGATAGCGACAGCGACTTTGTTTTATACTATGTAATGATATACTCAATTCGTAATAAATAAAATACAGTATAATGCATTTTAGTAATATTTCAAACTAAATTAATCTACTATAGATTAGATTAGATAAGTACCTAAAACTTTACTTTCTTCATATGCATTACAATTCATTTATAATACTTACAAAACAATTTTAACCATAAGGACTCTATCAAAACATAAATATTACTATATATAAGTTACAACTTAGTTAATTTATGTTTAAGTACTATATATATACATATAGTATGTACTGAAGGTATGTGTATAATGATTTATTGTCATGTACAAACTTGAGATGTACATAAATTCACGTCAATCAGAACATCTTATATGACGTGCTTGATTCCATATTTGTTCACGTAGAATAAGTTAATAGAAGTAAATTAAATATAAATTAGTTTAAAGTCAGGTCAAAGTCATTACTATATATATTAATTTGTTTGTTTTTTGTATACTTTAATTTAAAACTATAGGTGCTAAAAATTAACGCTATGTATGGTAGAGTTGTAGAGACGTACGTAATGTTATATTGAAATGATTTTCTTTCCTATTTAATATTTATTATTATGCTTTTTGGTTGTTTGCTTATAATTAGTAATGATTGTTAAGATAACTATATATAATATTTGTATCAATTTTTACATTATACATAAAATGTAATGAAAATAAGTATATTCAAACAACTTTGGTCTAAACCTTATTTATATATTATTTAATTTATTATAATCTGAAATATATGTATGTTTGGAATAGCAAGGTATTGTTGTATCATGAGTGCGGGCGTGTTTGCGAGTCTCTCGTATGTACCGTCCGCCGGACACCGTCCGCCGGACACCGTCGGCTGGCACTCGGCGGCGCATCTCGCTCGCGGTGTCTCCGGCTCGGCTGTAGCGGCTGTGCCGCGCGGTAGCGGCGAGTGCGGGGCGCGCGGCGGGGCGCGGGGCGGCGCGGCGCGGGTGTGGGGCGCGGGGCGCGCGCGGCGGGGCGGGCGGCCGCGGGGCGGCGCAGTAATTACAGCGTCATTAGCGGGCGGCGCGCTGGGCGGGACCTCCCCGCTCCGAGCGGCGGGCGCGCGCAGCGCCGCGTCGCCCCACAGTCCGCTCCGTGCTGCCGTCGCGCACGCACGCGCATGTCGCTCGCTGTCGTCCCCGGTGATGTGAGGTGGCCCCCGCCGCTGCCGCAGCGCCGCGCGATCTACGCGCTATTTTCGCGAACGAGTACGCCAGTTGAAGGCTCGAGAGCCTTCGAGCCGGCAAGACGCCGTCCACCGTGGATTTGAGGTACGGCGCCATGGCGGCGACCACGTACATGCCCGCCGAGATGGACCTCGGGAACCTCGGCGGGTACCACGCTGCGTCGCCGCGGAGCGCCGAGCCCGCGGACATGAAGTACCAGCACCACCTGCAGGCCGGAGGGTCGCCCTCGCCGGGCGCGCCCGTGCTCGGCAACCCGTGGGCCTCGCTGCCCCCGGCCGACCCCTGGGCCATGCACCAGCACCACTCGCACGCGCACCAGCCGGACGTGAAGCCGCCGCCCGCGCCGCACGAGCACCGCCACCTGCAGCACAGCGCGCACGGCTGGCACGCGCCCGTCGTGAGCCCGCACTACGGCGCCGGCTCCCCGGTCGCGCTGCACGGCGGCTACCCGGTGCCCATGCACCAGCACCACATGCTGCGAGACGTGCAGCCCTCCCCGCACCCGCTCCACCACCACCACGGGCTGGAGCGCGACCAGCCCGAGGAGGACACGCCGACCAGCGACGACCTCGAGGCCTTCGCCAAACAGTTCAAGCAACGCAGAATCAAACTTGGTTTCACGCAGGCCGACGTCGGCCTGGCGCTAGGAACCTTATATGGAAACGTGTTCTCACAAACGACGATCTGTCGATTCGAGGCGCTGCAGCTCAGCTTCAAAAACATGTGCAAACTCAAACCGTTACTCCAAAAGTGGCTCGAGGAGGCGGATTCGACGACGGGAAGTCCGACGAGCATCGACAAAATAGCCGCCCAGGGGCGGAAGAGAAAGAAGCGCACGTCGATAGAGGTGTCGGTTAAAGGAGCGCTGGAACAGCACTTCCACAAACAGCCGAAGCCGTCGGCGCAGGAGATCACGTCGCTCGCGGACAGCCTGCAGCTAGAGAAGGAGGTGGTCCGCGTGTGGTTCTGCAACCGGCGGCAGAAGGAGAAGCGCATGACGCCGCCGAACACGCTGGGCGGCGAGATGATGGAGGGCATGGGCCACGCGCACTACGGCCACGGGGACGTGCACGGCTCCCCGCTGCAGCACTCGCACTCGCCGCCGGGGCTGTCCCCGCAGCACGCGCTGCCGCAGGGCGCGCACACGCTGGCCGCGCACTAACAGTTCGCCCCGTGGGCGCCGCCGCGGCCCTACTACGCGGAGCCGCACTAGCGCGCCCGCCCGCGGGATACCTCTGTACATAGAGTGTACGTGAACGTGTACATACGCGCCGCGCGCCCGGACGTGCCCGCGGCGCACAGCTCAGTGTGGGACGGGCCGCCGCGACTGTACATAACTCGAGCGGGCGGCCCCGTCCCGTGGACCTGCCGGACGCTAAGTTTAAGTTGTTCTTTATAATTTCAGTGAAGTCATTGATTAATTATGTGCGTAATGTTAAGATCGAAGCCAGTAATCGTTTATACTTTGTCGAAACGCCGCGGTTCACAGTGAGCGCTGATAGCGTTTAGCTAGATAGTCTAATTGGTAAATAAGAGCTTAATCGGAGGAAGAGCCCGGCGTCGCTCTCGCACCCTCGCCGCGCGGCCGGCGGCTCGTCCTGCGGTAAGTACGGCGACATTACACAGACAGTCACAGTAGAGACGCCACCACCGTCACCACCGCTCACCGTTACCACTGTTAACGATGCCTCGTAAACTTAGAGCCGCCGAGCGCGCGCCGGCCGCACCGGCGAGGTGTGCAGAGCGCTATTGATTTTTGTAAAGGACTATTTCATCGAATTTATTTATAGATATTATAAATTAACGATGTTCATACATGCCTACCTGTCAGTAGGGAGTCATTGTGGTGTGGATTAAATTTAAATTGTTGCTATTACTGTAAATTTATGATTAGTGATGATGGCGAGAGTAAAAAATATGAATCGGGTCGAAGCTTCGTTTTGTAAGGGAATACGAGTGAGTCAATAGGTGCAATTTTTATTTTAAGTCTTTAACAAAACGACGAGTGTGAGTATGTGTTGAGAGACGGCGGCGGACACCCGCCGGCGACCGCTCGCGACCGCTCGCGACACACGCCACACCGGCACAGACCTGGGTCCCACACATAATAATTTATTAAAAATTTATTATTAAAAAGATGCAGACACGATGCCAAAATGGTTTTATTCCTGTTTTTTACTTGTTTTGTTGTTTTTTTTCGTTTGTATGTATTTGTGGCCAACCTTGGTACTTAATACTTGTAAAAATAGGTATTTTTTCTATATAAAATAATGTACCTACGACATATATGATGATAAATATTAAAAAAGTTCTTTATAGAAATTGAAATATGGAAATGACTTTTATTCACAATGACCCAAAGTTAAATTTGCCTCGATTACATTATACAGACACATTAAATGATTTCATGTTATTATAATTGATAAAAACTCTACTTAACTTAAATAAATTTGTTAGAGCACAGAGTATATTTAACTGACAATAGAACTTATTGGTATATATATATATATACTTACATTTCAATTATATTAATGTCATTGCTACCTATCGTGTACCTATTGATAGTGTGTATATAGTAAATTAAGTTAAAAAGTGGTTGAGTAGTGGACAGAGCCGAGCAAAGGTCGTCATCTCGTCATTAAGCTGCTAAACTATTTTGTATTGTCGAATTAAGTATTTAAATAAACCAGAGTAAATATTTTACAAAGTATTATTTTTTAACGTAACCCAACGCAACCGCATGTAGTAATCGGTTATAAAATGAAGGGATGATCTCGAGTCGTGGATATTTGGTTTATTTATGAGGGCAAACGCAGGTAGGGTCTGACTAGAGCCCGAGTAGCGACTCAGGTGCGACAAAAAAAGCATACTGATGAATCTATTGTTATCTGTATTTTGAATTTTTTTTTGTAATAATCTGTGGACAACATTTAACCTTTCTCAGTTTTATTAGCACCCTAATAAAATTGAGTTTGTACACTCTGATTTCATTCTTACTGATAAATAATTGACTCTTATATGTTTATCTATTTACCAATAGGTATATGTATTGGAGATAATTAAAATATAATAGTAATAACTATATAATCAACTGTACATATATCTATATATATTGTTTTAATACACATACTAATAATAATCTCAGGACAATTTACACAGCGCTATCTAGATCCAAGTTAAGCTAGCTAAAGCTTGTGTTATGGGTATTAGACAACTGACACATAGATATAATTTTTTTTCGTAAATACATACATATTATACATAGAAAACACCCAGACCGGTACAAACAATCATACTCATGAATACAAATATTTGTGCCGTGTGAGGAATCGAACCCGCGACCATCGGACGTAAAGCAGTGTACTAAACCACTAGACCACCGAGGTTGTCACAATCACATATATAGTATTTCTATCTTTCATACACATACCTACTTGTTTCTATAATACTTCCAAAACTTCAAATTAACATTGCAATATTACATATATATATGTTTAATATCTCCAGCTCTATATATTTACTTTGTAAATATTGATGTTAAATTTTTTTTTTTTATATATTCTCATATGGTCAAACCTTTTTAAAAAATATTATATTTTTTATTTATTTATCATTGACTCAAGGCGCGAACTTGTTATGATTGCTTGTAGTTACTATATATGTGATAAATTGATTATAAATATGTGAAAATTATAACTATATGCGTAGTATTATCTAGTTATACCTAACTGTAAAACGGCAATTAGTATTCGGATAGCAAAGAAATCGTTTAATACACATTTCGATATATATAGTATCATATGGCACTCTGTTTTAGTATTTGCATTAGTGTTTTATATTTCTAAAATACATTATTTGTCGTACGTCGTTTCATGGTCGCAGGTTCGATACCTCGCAGTAGAATAGAATAGAATAGAAATTTATACATACTAAGATAAAAATCCTATATATGTGATTGTGACGACTTCGGTGGTCTAGTGGTTTAGCACACCGCTTTACATCCGATGGTCGCGGGTTCGATTCCTCGCACGGCACAAACATTTGTATTCATGAGTATGATTGTTTGTACCGGTCTGTGTGTTTTTTTATATTTATAATTTTAAATGTATGTATTTACGGAAAAAAATTATGACTATATATTTGTATCAGTTATCTAGTACCCATAATACAAGCACTTGTGTCTAGATGGCGCTATGTGAATTTCCCTCTATATGATAAATTGATGATAAATATATGAAAATGTCAACTATATGTATATTATATTTAGTTTACTCATTAAGGAACATATATTATCATTTACATAACCACTTTCATTGTCAAATATATGATTTTACATATCATTTAAATTAATTAAATAATATAAATACACTAACATATAGCGCGTTGTATCTGTAAGTTAGGGACTGAGTTTGTTTAACTCAACATTGCTATTGAACCTGACTAGTTTTGTAGATCGATTGTTAATATTATTATAATATAACTTATCATAACTTGATATCATTTTATCATTACTTAGTGCAAAAAGTCTCTTCCGCTTAGATCTCTTAGATCTTTTAAACTATGCAACGGATATTAATGCAGTTTTGAGCAATCGATAGAGTGATTCTAGAGGAAGGTTTATATGTTTTACATTCGCTTTATTATATTCTAGTCAATCACTAAGTTGCTGATTGCCACAGATCAAGTAACAAATCAAAATATGTATATCATTAGTATAAAACAAAGTCGCTGTCGCTGTCTGTCCCTATGTATGATTAAATTTTTAAAACTACGCAACAGATTTTGAAGCGGTTTTTTTTAATAGATATTATATATAGTGATAGATATGTATAATAGAGTGATTCAAGAGGAAGGTTTATATATATATAATACATGTAGGTACGGGTGTACCTACATGTATTATATATATGTGTGTATGTGCGAAACCCGAGCGGATAGCTACTATAAATATATTTTTTTTTCTGACTAATTTATGAACTATTCTAAATATATATTTCTGTTGTTATATATCTGTATGTTGAAGAGTGTATGTTGCACAGAATTTTAGTGAAGTAATAAAACTCATGTTGGGCATTAAATGTATTGAATTTTTTATATTTAAAGAAAACATTGTGAATTTTAAATTTCAATTACATACTTCCCATGTCTATGTTGTAGGCCGACAGATAACAAAAATATATAGTGTTTCAGTGTTAATTGGTAATTTATTTAGTTTATATTTAATTGTTCTACTGGAATAGTAACTAAACTCCATTAGATAGATAGATAGATAAATTCTTTATTCACAATTACAGACACATAACATAGATGAGATACAGAAAAAAAACATGAAATTAATAAAAGAAATGTAGGTGAATTTATGTGCCGCAAAAGTGAAAAGGTAGCCAACTCAGCATAATGCTACAGATAACTCTGCAGCGCTGATATTCTGTTGGCTCCTTACTTATACTATACTAATTACTAAGAAAATTACATAAATATTAAACTTCGAGCTCTTTATCAAATATATAAAGTATGAATAAACTGTAAATAATGTGATGAATTATATTATTAAACTACTTATACTACATACAGTACTCTAATACACTGTGACTTTATCATCATCTATCTATATGTCCAACGGATTTTGAAGCGGTTTTTTTTATAGATAGAGTGATTCAAGAGGAAGGTTTATATATATAATACATGTACACCCGTGCGAAGCGGGGGCGAGTAGTTAGTTATATATGACAAACTTTAGTAGTTACAGACCAGTGCTGTTTCAAACTTTTTTTTTTACAGTTTCTTTACTATTATAATGTTTTTTAGAATATAAATAAGTAGGTATTAATTTTTTTTAATAGTCTACACAATTTGAGAAGCCAAACATTCTAATTAATTTAATAAATCAAATTGAATGATGTGTTAATGGTAGTAGCAAGTAGGGGTGTACATTTTATGGAATTAGGTGTTGTTTTGTGAAATGTATGTTTTATGAAATGTACTTCCACATTTCATTACTTAACGGATTTACATTATTTTGTTTAATTCCGCCACAAGTTAGTAATTATAGTGGAATTAAATAAAATAATGTAAATGCATTAAGTAGTGAAATAGGTGGTTCAAGTTATGTTTGTTTGTGTGTCTGTAACATTAGTTATAGAAAAGGAATCGTTTAATACCCATTTCGATATAGATATTATCATATGATAATTTATTTTAGTATTTGCATTAGTTGAATTTAACTTCTTATGAAATAGTTGTTGTACATTGTTTGACGGCCTCGGTGGTCTAGCGGTTTAGTACACCGCCTTACTTCCGATAATCGCGGGTTCGATTCCTCGCACGGCACAAATATTTGTGTTCATGAATATGATTGTTTGTATCGGTCTGGGTGTTTTCTATGTATAATATGTATGTATTTACGAAAAAAAAATGTATCAGTTATTTAGTATCTATAACACAAGTGTTGGCTAGCTTAACTTAGGTCTAGATGGCGCTGTATGAATTGTTCTGAGATTATTATTTTTATCCGATAATAGATGTGGTTGCGTATTGAACATTGAGAAGTAACATTCGAATGTCATTCTAAAATTACATATCACGTTCAAACGACACAAGTACGCATCAAAGTTAAAAAGAAATAAAAATTCTTGCCTTTATGTTATCTAATAGCTTTCTCTTGTCAACGGTAGGTAACGAGAATAAAAAAACCCCTCTCGCACGTACATACACGTCTTTACATTGTGTGTACGGTATATACTCGTATGTACTAAGAATAGTGTTTAGTAAAAACTGTTCGTGCCGCGCCACCGCGCCCCCCTCCGCCTCC